CCAGCAGAAGGGCAAGAGCGAGCCCTGGTGGGCGGAGCGGAAGGCTGCAGGGACCCGGGCCCGGCCCGGGTCTTCTTCCCCGCCGCGGCGTTCTCCGCCCACCCGGGGACCTTCCCGCCAAAACCTCTCACCTCTGAGTACTGTGCGTCCTAAATTTGGCTTGGGCAGACAACTGCGGCTGAGCAATGCATTGCTCACAGGCTCCTTTCTTTGTATCCTTTTCTCATCCGTTTCTATATAAATCCCTCCAAATTTGATGTCTCTGAGGAATCATTCTGACAGCAGCACGGACGCTTATAGACTCAAGGAATGTGGGCGTTGAGGAGACCCGAGAGATCACTTAGCACAGGGATTTGGAGCCTCAAACGGGCTTTGGAGCCCGAACCTCCTAAAATGTATGCAAATTTTTGCCACTCTTGAGCTTACCTCTGGGGAGATGGGACTAAGGCTTTTATCAGATTCCCAAATATGTTGGTGACCCCTTTAGGTTCAGAAATACTTATCCAATCCAGTTTCTTTTCAGATAGGGAATCAACCTCCAAGGAATGAAGGGAATTTCCAAGGTCACACGGGTAGTGCTAGAGTTAGGATGGCACATCGCGACACCAGTCTTACATACGATGTCCCAAGGAAACAGGTACAGCTCTTTTTAATATTTTAGAACATATTATGTGCCTCTACATCTTGGTTTCTAAATGCCAGTCTCCACTAAAAGGACCCAGCCTCTGGAGAAATGGCTGATTCCTGGCAGAAAGAGGGAAAGTATAAAATGCCCTTGGAAGATCTTTTGCCGGAAAGTGAGATTTTCAAAGAATAATGAGAACATGCCCAAAGAAAAGAGGAGCCAGTTTGAAGGCACCTCCACTTACCAATCTGGGACAGTTTGAATGTCACGAATGAATAATGATAGAAATGGATTATAATGCAGTGAGTTTTTAAAAGGAATCCACGAGTGCTTGCTTATTCTTACAATGTTAAATAAATAAGTATAAAAGGGGAGAAATGATAATTCTTCCTGATGATACAATGCCGGTTAATACACATAGAAAAAATGATGAAATTAGGAAATCACCGTTTTGCAACCATATAATTGATTCAGATAGAATTATCAATAGATGTTAAAATCATTGGGTGACAGTTTGCTGGGGAACAGGATATTTACACAGTCTCAAAGTATCCTCGGATTTCTTATTCAGAGGGATAAAAACAGTACTTTCACTGCGGAGAAATCTGACAGACACCACCATGACCAAATGATCAAAGTTAATGTCACCAGTTATGGGATAAAGTGACATGATGTGCCTCCTGATGTGACGTACTGAGAAAGATACAGTATCTCTTATGTAATATTCCTGTCAAAAATACATATTCTGAATCTAACCCCCTCCAAAAACTATCAGACAAATACAAATTGAGAAACATTCTACCCAATCGCTGGTCTGGGCCAGTTTCCTAAAAGACTGAGGAACTGTTCTAGATGAAAAGATTAGAGACAAGACACCAAAACCAATGTGTGACCCAGGATTAGAAGAAAAGTCCAATAAAGGAAAGAATAGTTTCAGGACAATCGTTAAAATTTGTATATGGGTTGTATATGAGATAATAGTATTCTTTAAATGGTAAGCTTCTTTAATTTTATAATTGTGTTGCGGTTTTTGACAAAGAACACTCTTATTAAGAGATACACACTAAGGTACTTAAGGATAAAAGTTTTGATATATGCAACTTGTTCTCAAATGGTTTAGCAAAGATCAATAAGGCAAAGAGGCAAAAATGTCAGTTTGATAAGTCTAGGTAAAAGGTATATGGTAGTTCACTGTATTGTTCTTGCAATTTTTCTGTCGTTTAAATTTTTAATGACAATTAAAATATTTATATATGTATACATTTTAGTCTATTAATTTAATTTTATTATCTTAATTTATTTTCTATTCTTTGTATAAGATCTTCTGACTCTTGGGACCTCCACCTGCTCACTGTACTTCTGCTGGTCATTATCCCCAAGCAATACCTGATTCTACTGTGAGTTATGTTGCTTGTCAAAGCAAGGAGGAAATTGAGAGGAGGATATAAGACTGATGAGATTTCTGGATTGTGAGGAGTAATGTATGAAGTTTCATGTAAGTATACCAGGAGCCCACGTATGTACCCCAGTTCAAAAATAGTTCACATATCAATTTTTTCCAGCTAGATTAATGTGTTTTAATAGCTTTGGGGATTTTTCCTTTGGGAATCCAGTGAAAAGCTACTTGCTTAAGAACGTGAAAATACGCATAGGGACCCACTATAACTAACTACCTCCTCTTTTAAAGTACGTCTTTTGAACAGAAATTCAGACCCATTTCTATCTGATTATCTTAAGCAAATAACCAGGCCAACTACCTCCTTGCACAATCTGAGAATAAGATGTGATTTGGGGCTGGAAAGAAGAGAAAGGGATGGCAGGGAGCACCAAAGGGTTTCTGGCAAACCAGAGTTCAATGCGGATGCTGAGTGTCTAGAGGTTAGAGGTAGAGAGGCTAGAGGTCGGAGAGAGGTAGGAGGGGCTGTGCCCAAAATCAATCTTGACCACTTGGAAACACAGCAGGTGAAAATTCCTGGTAGGTTGTCAATGTAATCCTGAAGAGATACGTGTGGACTGAGAATACAGTGAGCTTGGAATCTGTGATCCAGCTCTGCTTCCTGGGTCCAAAAGATCTACTTCTCCCTCTCCGATTTCAGCCCTGTATGTCTCCTATGTGCTTTTGCTTCCATTAATTTGTAACTATATGCATTTTAGCAATTATTAATATTATCCAAGTCTCGCTTTCCTCTCCCCTTTCTCTCTCCCTCTTTTTCCTCTGTCTCCGTACGCTGCCCTCCCATCCCCCACCTGCACACATACCATCACGACTCCGCCCCTCAGGAGAAAGAATAAAAGGGAAAAGGGAGAAAGAGATGATAAGAGAGGCTTCTTACAGTTGACATCTTTCTCATCTCCAGTTTTTGTATCGATGAGGTGGAATGCTGTAGTCACCAGATTTCTTACTGGCTTGGCCTTTAAAATCCAACATTCCCAGCTAAGGCTGTGAGTCCACTATATTTGCCTTTGAGTTGATTAACAAAATTTAAGCTAACACTTAAAAAGCCAAAAAGGGTATACACATAGAAAGAATTAATAAAATGGTGAAAGTCTGAGATTAGAATTAATTCTACAACATACTTAACTTAGAATAAAATAGACTCAGAATGAAAATGTGGAATGGGGGGAGGAATTAGCAAAGAGGTAATGAAAGAGTAATTTGAAACGTGAGGAAAGAACACTTCATAGCTCACAGTGCTATATATATTTTGCTGAAGGAGACCCCATGAACTTGAAAAACAAAATAGGTACCATGTGTTTCCTTGATTGTGAACAACACCTGCACTTTTACTGTTGTATCATTTTGGGCCAGAATGAACGTCAATACACCGGTAGGCTCAGGTCTGAATTCAGAGTTAGTTCAAATCAAAAACTGGTGAAATCTTTATTAAATGACATTGCTTAGAAAAAAATAGATTACAAGGCTAGAAAGAACACTTTGTCTTTTATGTTACAAAAGGCAGAAAGTATGTCAGAAAATCCAAATCACTGACCTGTGCCAGTTACAAGTTCTTGTTATTATTATAAAATACAGATATTCCTGAAATATGCATCCATCTGTCAGGTTAATGAACAGGTGGGTGCCACTATGTTTGAGGTACCATTATGGAAATAAACCAGAGGATTGACATTATTTAAAGAAAACTTTCTTTGGCTCTTTTAAAGGATGGGTAACCATGCCCTGTTTTTAATTTTTGAAGTGTAGTTGTAGTTGTGATGGATCTTGTCTAAATGAAGAACGTGTGATTCTCTCTAAACTTTTGAAATAATTTCAAAATTTTTGTATCTCCTCCCAGATGACAGATTTCCTGAGGAACTTAAATTTTAAAGGGATCTTAGAGAGAATCATATGAGTCCATCTTCCCATCTGATACAGAAATCTCTAGACTTGAGACATGACATCAAGCCTTGGTTTACTGCTTCATGCTTCATTACATGTCTCACTTGTGATCTACGTGAGATAGTTCATATCAGGAGAAAATACATCCTTGTATTGGCTTCATGGCTGCTGTTTTCTGACTTCTGTCCATGGTTGATTTTCTCTGGTGCAAGACATCTCAACCACACACACACACTGATTGTCATACTCTTTCTTCAACTCTCCAGGCAAAGCATTCCCCAATTCACTGTCTAGCTGACTGTTTCTAGCCCTCTACCCTTTCTTCTTGTGCTTCTCTGGACTCTGGTTTCCAAGTCTCTCTTAAAATAGTGTTCCCAAAGCTGAATGCAGCAGCCCAGGGGTAGTCTAAGCCCTGTAGGATCCTTTGACCCAGACGTTCTACTGAGATGAATTCAGCCAAAGACTGCGCTAATTTTCTTTTTAGCAGCCACAGCCTACAGTTAAGCTTAAAGCCAACTAAAACCTCTGGGTCTTTCGAAATAACAATTATTGTTACCACTTTCTTGGGCAATTGTTTTTTTTAAAAAATGGAAATGGAAATTCTGATAGCTAAAATGTCATCTGGTTGACTTTGCTTATTGTTCCAGATAATAGAATTGTTTGGATTCTTCACTCTGCCACCTACCGTATCACCTCATCTGAGTTCTCTGAGCCAAGCAAATTCAGCATGCCTTCTCTATCTTTACTGAAGTTATTATTTTTTGTACCACCACTCCTAGTACAAGTGTGTGGCTTATAGTAGGTTCGTGACTGGATTGACAAACTGGTAAATAGGGCAAAGTTCATGGGCAGAGTTTTAGGGCTTGTCACTTGACATCTTCTAGTTTGACTTCCAGCAAGTTATGAGTCAACATTCGTTTGATTTGGTTTTTCATATAACCATGAATTCCAGGAAGATTCTATGTCTGATGCTGCTGGGGGAAGATTTGTTTTTATTCTTATTTTTTATTGAAGCATAGTTGATTTACAATGTTACTTTCATGTGTACAGCAAAATGATTCATTTATACATATACATACATATATATTTTTTCAGATTCTTTTCCATTACAGCTCATTAAAAGAAATCGAATATAGTTCCCTGTGCTATACAATAGGTCCTTGTTATTTATCTATTTGATATATAGTAATATGTATATCTATTAATCCCAAACTCCTAATCTATTCTTTTTCCCTCTGGTAACCACTGCTGGGGTAAGATTTTAAAGAGGGTCCTCAACATTCTCATACAAATGTTTTAATATATAAGCTGCTCTGCTCTCAGTTGCTTTCCCTTTAGTTCATTCCTTTCTATTATTGGAGTAGTTGGTTAATCTTCCCTAACCCCACCAGATTGTGAACTTCTTTGAGGGTACGGATCACATCTTAGTCATTTTTGAATTCCTTAACTTTTCACCAGAATTCAACAAATGCAGTTTAGTTTGACGTTTATTGCGTCCATGTGCTAGGCACCGTGGGAGACACGGGGCTTGCAAATGTGAATAAGGCATAGTCTCTGTCCTTGAGAATTTGTGGTTTAGAACGAGAGCTCTAAAATCTGATAGCTGTAGTGTGAATTGTGGGTCTACGACTTACTAGCTGGTGACCTTCGGAAAGCTGCATAACCTTTTTCTGCCTCAGTTTCTCATTTGTTAAATAGTGCTAGAGAGAGCACCTGCCCCAGAGGATGACTGTGAGGAGGACGGATACATAAACAGATACTTATAACTTAAAGAGGCGAGAGCTAAGATAAAGCATCTGCACAAGGAGCTCAGAGGAGAGGCGGTTAGCTCAGTTTAAGGGTTCGTAAGAGAGGCTTCCAAAAGATGAAAGTTGAGCAGAGCTGCAAAGGTCTACTAAGAGTTAGACAGCTGAAAAAAATTGGACAAGCATTTGAAGAAGAAACAGCATGAGCAGTGGTCCCGAAGGTATGAAAAGACATGATGTGCTCAGGTAACTGTCATCAGTTGAGAGTCAGTGATTTCCAGTGTCCACAGACAAAATGGGAAGATACATGGGACCAGATCATGGAGAGCTCCTTCCTCCCCTTCTAGCCAGACTGCTGCTCCTACACCCCTTCAAAGAGAAAGTCAGAAGTTGCAACTGGGTGGGAAACTGCTGGAACGATGGATTCCAAGTGTGGAGCAATTGATTCCAACTGTGGCGGTGATGAGATGTGAGGGCTGGGAGAGAGATGTTGAGAATTGCTACCAGGTGTTTGACAGGAGTGTACAGATGCAATCAATTACCGAATGCTTACCATGTGCCATTCACTCTGCTGGGCACCGAACATGAACGTGCAAAGGTGGGTGAAATAAGGCCCCGACCCTCAAAGAGCATATAATCTATTTCATTCAGACATTTAGTCCTTATTTCTCTAATACATATAAAGGTACCGTGAAAGCCTGTTAAATAATTTGCAGAAATCAATATATATTATGCCTGTGTACTGGAGCGAAATGAGTTGTGCTAGGGGTCAAATGTTCTACACTGTCATTTACAAGCTCTGGATACATAATTCTGGAGCTTGGTGGGGAGATCTAGGCTGAAAATTTAGAGACTGATAGTTGAAGTCAAGAATGTGGGTGGTATCACACAATGGGAAAATAGAGTGAAGGGGGCAGGTAGGTATAGCTCAGTAGTAGAGAGCATGCTTAGCATGCACAAGGTCCTGGGTTCAATCCCCAGTACCTCCATTAAAAAAATAATAATAAAATTTAAAAAATTTTTAAGAGTGAAGGAAAAGATGTTGCTCCTTATTGCCTCCTGCTAGTCTAGGAGCCTGTCTCTTACAGCTCAAGGAGATAAACTCACAGATTCATGGGGCCCTGGTTTTGAGTTTGTGCCATTATGACTCATCTCTTAAAGGAATGAACATTAAAGTAAGTAAATAGTCATCCTTTTTTAATCTTCAGTCTTGGAAAATGTGTTATATTATGAAAACTGGCCATATTAGCTACTAATTTACTAATGGACCTATTCTTTTTGATTTTATGGGTCTATTATGGGAGCTGTGAACATATAAACTTCAGTTTTTAAAAAATAGAATCATATTCAGTTTTGGTGACTATTAATTTTAACCTAGTTTTAGCATGTATTTTTAGGCTAAGTGTTTGTTGAATTTATGTTGGTAACTTCAAAAATTATTTTAAAATTTGCATTTATTTTTGGTCTTGAGAAATGCATTTATTTGCTTAGTTCACTGGGCTAAAGATAACAAAATGCACAAACAAGGCAATAAAAAAACTCCATCCTCCCCCCACCCATATACGCATACAAAAAAGGAGTGTGCAAAAGAGGAGAAGACAGAATCCTACAGCATTTATTTAGCACTCACAGGAGTGAGCAAACAGGGGGAAGTAGCCTTCCCTGTCGAGGAGGAGAGGCCAGAGAAATAGAAGGAGAATGGATCAAGAAGGAAAAATTGGTTTTTAATCTAGAGAGAGGAGCGTTTAAAGGAGGAGGCTTCAAGAAGAAGGGAGTGCTTTCAATCCCTGAAAAGATGTCAAGCAAGATAAAGATGAAAAGAATTCATTGGATTTAGTCATGAAGAGATAATTGATGATCTTTGCAGAGGATTTCAGAGTACTGAGGGCGGAAGCCAAACTGAAGTGAGTGGGAAGAAGTGAAGAAAAGTGAGTGTAGACCATTCTTTCAAGAAATTTGTCTGTTGAGAAACGAAGATAGAAGAGGATGCGGAGTCAAGAGAAACTTGGCGTTTTGTTTTTAATTGGTAAAGAATTGAGCATTTCTGGAGTCAGAAGAGAGAAATATTGAAATAAATATTTATCTATAGAGAGTAATGAAATCTTGAACACAAGAGTCAGGAGCGGAGATGCCTCCTTTACTCTGATGTGGGCAGGGGAAGGAAGCCAGGGCAACTGTGGCTGCAGGTGAGTGGGTGGTTTGCAGTGCAGGAAGTTTACTCCTGGCATCAGTTTCCTCTGTGAAGTAGGAAGCAGATTATCTGCAGTGTGAGAGTGGAGGAATAGGAGGGTATAGATGAGTTGTGAAGGTCTGAAAAATCTGCTATGAGAATGGGAGAGGAACTTGCTGAGGACACACAGAAAACTTCCTGGGCAATAAGAAACTCCAGGAAGGTCCAAATGAGGCCAGAAAACCATGAAGTGGTGGAAATACCAATCCAAATGGTCATGGGACTTTTTGCAACCACGTTTGGTAGCCTGGGTGTCAGACTGATACAGGGCTGGAATTTGCTGAGTGGATCCTACAGAATGTCAAGGGAGTTGAGGATTTAGCAAGAAAATCACTGAAAAAAGTACCATATAGTATGGATAGAGAAAGAAGTGAAGATAAGGAAAGGCAGAGAGACTGATGAGAAAATGGAGGACTCAAGAGTCCGGAGCATAAATGAGCTGAGAGCAAGGACATGAAAGATCTTGAGAAGGAGCTATGTCTATGCCAGTACATTTAAGTTAGATATGGTTTTAGATGAGGATAAGATCTAGGGGATACCCTCAAAAAGGATGATTAAAGTGAAGAGGAATGGTCTACCACTTTCCCCATTGTATGCCCATTTACCTAACACAACGCCTGGAGCATAATACATTTTTCAATATATATTTGTTCAAAAAAATGAATATACATTCTATATCTTCCCAGTATATTATGCCAATTCTCCTCTTCCTCACATAGTTTATTAGTTTACTATAATTATGGTAAATTCTCTGAAAGAAATGTACTGCTTGATATGAGATTGTATAACGTGGGGACCTGATTTAGTCTGGGGTGTGGGGGTCCTAAGGAAGAGACATGTAAAGTAAAGAATCAGTAGGAGTAAACCAGGGGATGACAGGTGGGGAGAGCCTCCCCAGTGAAAGTGAAAAGATTTCTGAATATCTTGAGGTGGAAAGAAGCTGAGAATGTTCCAACTGAATAGTAAGAATGGAGGTAGAGGGCTGGGGCTGCAGGAGATCATATTACATAAGGTCCTATATATATAAATCATGAAGTACATTTTGACCCATTAGACTTGAAATGGAAAAAGCTGACACACTCTTCTTGTTGTTAGCTTATAAGCATTAATAGGAATTATAATATTATGTGGATATGTGATTATGCACAGTGAAATTCGAAAGCTGAAAGATTATATTGTCTAAAAAGTCTCCAGCAGCCTGCTGCTTCCTTCCACACAGCCTTATTCCTTTAGATTAAACAAAGCAAATGAGATAGGCTTCCAAAAGCCACTATCAAAATGTACTTTGATTACCTGGAGAGAAAGTCTCTATGCCGCCTTCCTTTCTGCTATTCTAATTTTTTCCCCATTAGTTTCATGATTGGGTTAATTAGGTATTTGCCTAGGAAAAAGATAAGCATATAGGCATCACTGATGGGATGTGAGGAAGGCAAGGAAGAGACCTCTGGCTGATGATGTGGAAGGGAGGCTCAGGTAGGTGAGCATTGTAATGGAGATTTTGAATATTAGACTGTCCTGATGCAGCTAAAGTCCCAGGGGATACTTGTTTCACAATTCTGTCTATTATAAACCTATGCAAAACTTCCATTTTGCCAAGACAGAGATTCACCATCGGCTGACTGCCAACCCCAAGATCAATCTCAGAGGAAGTTTCAGAAACAGTGGGGAAAAACATCAGAGAAATCCCCTGGACAAGGAAGCCTGTTTTGAACTGATTTTGTGTGTGTGTACATCTGAAGCCTGGGGTAGAAGGCTTCCGTGGAAATTAGCAATAGAGGCTCAAGACAATTGGTGTGTTTTCAAGGATAACAGTCAGGGCAGAACAAAGCCAGCCTGTGGAAAACTGGTAGGGACTGACTGACCTTGAGTATTTACTCACCGACCACCCCCAAGGTCAGGGGTCTTCTGACCCCTAAGTACCTCCTGTTAAGGCTGCTGCTTCTTGAGGGGCGGTGGATGGGGTCAGTCTAAAAGTAGGGCCTGACCTGAAGAGTCACTTGGTGGCATGGCACTTGAGCAATTAATTATGTAGTTTGGTGCTTGGAGCTCTCCACCCTAGGGTTATCCCTACCCTTCTCCTCGATTTCACTGGATGTTGAAACAGACTGGGATCTGCCCTTTGGTCTTTTCCCATACTAAATGCTAAGACAGAACAGCTGATACCATCAGAGAAATATATGCTCATAGGCCAAAGTAATGGGATATTTCAGAAGCACAACTACTTCAAAAGAAAGCGACAACCTGGATTACAGATGCTGCCAGAAGCAAATACGTTAAATTCAATGGTTAACAAATATAAAGTAAGCATAATAAATAAATGACAGTGAAATTATAAAAGTCAGGAGGAAATACTAGGCATGAAATATGTGTGTAATAGTAGAAATAACACAACAGATCAGATGGCTAGTAGAATAGACATAACTGAAAAACGAATTAGTGAGCTGGAAGATCAGATTAAGGAGCTCTTCGAGAAGGAAGCAGGGAAGAATAAAGGAAAAGAATGTATGAGATAAAAGTTAAGAGATAAAGAAGATTGAATTGGAATGTGAACTTCAACTTATAGATAACTAGAATGTCAGAAGAAGAGGAAAATAAAAGTGGAGAAGAGGAAATACTTGAAGAAGTGGAAATAAATTCCCCAGAAATAAATAAAGATGAAAGATGTCATATTTATGCAGTTCTGAACAAGAGCCATAAGGAGAAACTAACCCTAGTAATATTATAATGAAATTAAAGTTTTGATAGGCGAAGATAAAATTCTAAAAGTTTCTAGAACAGATCAACGATAGAGGAACAATGATCATCCAGTTCTCAGACTTTTCGAGAGCAACCAGAAGATAATGGTAATATTTTTAAAGTATTGAAGAGACAAAAGAACTTTGAGCCTGAATTTATATCCAGCCAAATTGTCAATTAAATGTGAGGGTATAAAAATATGTTCAGGTATATAAGGTCTCAAAAGGTTTGTCACTCAAAAACCCATATTGAAAACAGTATTGGAAAAGGTCCTCAAATAGGACAAGAAGCAAATCCAGGAGATGCTACTGGAGATGTCTGAAGTAAAGGTAATCAAATACCTGGATAAAGTTTACTGTTGTCTTTCCAAAACTAGAAAAGACCAAAGAAAAGAAAATAAGAAAGCATGTTTACAATAAACTAGACTTAAATTCTACACAATATCAAATAGTGGTGTCTTTAAGTTAGACATTTTTAAGATAGAAAAATAAAACAGGATAAATTTAAAGAAAATAGAAGGAAGGAGATGAGAAAAAAATTGCAAAAAGAAAATAGAAGGAAGGAGATGAGAAAAAAAATTGCTAAAGAAAATAGAAGGAAGGAGATGAGAAAAAAAAACTGAATAGACAAAAAAATACAGTACAGA